AGTTTCTAAGCATTTCCACTACAAAACATGTAAATGGTGGACTGTTTCCCGCCTTTTTATAGAGCACGTGCATTCTGTTAAGAACTGAAATTTTACCTCAAATGCTAATATCACCTCAGGCAAAATTCACTCAAAGTTTTAGGTGTAATATACCCTTCTAAACTTTCCCAAACTGATTATAAGAAATCACTCAACGTTTCCAGAACATTACAGCGAAAATATCTGTAAACGACGCTTGGAATTTCAAACATCAATGTGTCTTGAAAAGGTTTTCATTTTTTTCAAATGGAAAAAGTTTAAAATGGCGTTTCATTCGTCATTATTTACGGTTTATACACGCGTAAATCGTTAAAGAAAAGTTAATCAAACTATCTTCTATAGCATGTGGGATCCTTTCTCCTCCTCCAAAGGTTAATTGTAATTCCTTAAGTAGCGAAGAGTAATTATATAGCAGTGAAGTGATATCTTATCGTAGCCAAAGGCGCCCACAGGTTTGAATCTGTCTTCAGTCTCAAAATTCTTGTTTTAATGTGAAACCAAAAAAGGCAAATAGTCACAGCAGGAAGCCTTGAAAAGTTATAAACAAAGTTCTAGAATGTCTAAAAGATATATTTACACTATGGTTAACATCTGTAGGCCATTTACGAGACGGAATAATAAAAAAGCCGCGAGAACGGACTGCCGGTGAGACGACAACGACTGGGACAAAGCATCGAAAGAACAACAAGAATTTTTCGCAAGTTTTCCGAGATTGTTTAGCTCTTAAAGAGATACTTTTTCTTCTTGAAACGCTTTGAAGGAACAAATAAATGTAAGTAGAAATCTTGTGCAATATTGTTAGTTTGTTATTGTTTGTTCAGGTGCTTATTTGGCTAATGTTTGGGCTGATCTAAGTCAGTGTATGGCTAACTCACAGATTGAACCCTGAATCAACCTCTGGGCTGATCTAAGTCAGGGTATGGCTAACTCACAGATTGAACCCTGAAACAACCTCTGGGCTGATCTAAGTCAGGGCATGGCTAACTCACAGATTAAACCCTGAAACAACCTCTGGGCTGATCTAAGTCGGGCATGGCTAACTCACAGATTAAACCCTGAAACAACCTCTGGGCTGATCTAAGTCAGG